TTATTATTGTTATTATTATTGTTGTTGTTGTTATTGTTGTTGTTTTTTTGTTTGTTGGTGTTATTGTTGCTATTTTATAACTAGGCGTTCTGTCCAGTTGTAAAATAATGAAGCTGCTTTTAAAAAAAGTTCAATACACGTCTTTTCAGCTAGCTCTTTCCATTATATTCATGGAAATTTGCTGTGGGATACATAATATATATATATATTGCTACGGTTCTATACGCATCTTTCATATCGCCATTTCCTCTATTCCATTTCTAGTTTAAGACCGTGTACTCTGGTACTGCTTATTCGCTTATTGCGTATTATTTATCATTATTATTTCTCGTTTATTGGGGAAGCTTCAAATCTATTGCATAATAACATGAAGCTGTGCCACTTGCTCGCTCCTTTTTTTGCTCTTTAACCAATTTTTCGGTTTTCTTTCACTTTTGGGGTTTTTGTGTGGAATTTTTGCTGTTTGGGTTGAGTTTTTTGGGGGGTTTTTGTTGTTGTTTTTTTTCCCTTTCTTTTCTTTGACTCATTTTGCACCGTGGCATCTGTCGCGACCTCGGTGCTTTCTTGTCGTTTCTCCATTTTTTTAAGCAGTGAAAATGTGACTTCTTCTCATTAAGCTACATCTTTGTTATGAACGGTTTTCACTGTTGTTATTTAAAATACAGATACGACAGTGGGTGGTTGGCGGGTGCTCTGGTGTGGTTTGCTCCTTCTTTCCTGTCAAACATTTATCATCCTACCTGATCTCTCCCCCCTCTCTGTTTTGTATGTTACTCTCTTGTAACACCTCTAATCTTCTGGCGCTTATATGACCTTATTGTGTTGCAAGTGCCGTAAAACTCTTACTAAAACTAAAACGAAAACAATGGAGATACGACAAGTACTGACTGGGGTCGACATTTGGTACTGATGCCTCACTGTCATCTCACATCTAATTTGGGTCACCTGATTTCTTTTTTTTTTTTTCCCTTCTTTTTTCTTTCTAATTTTGTTTTCTACTTTGTTATGGTTCCTGAGTTTTTTCTCACTACTCACACAGGTGTGAATTAAACCCACACACCCTGCACCCTCTCACTTTCCCCCCTCTCTTTTCGCACTCACCCACACTTCCCAGTACACCCCCCCCCCCC